AGCCCATTCCCAGCTAAGGACTTGGGGCATTGGTGGTGCGCTTGTCCTTCTTCCTCTTCTTTCCCTTTCCCTTCTTTCCGTTTTTTTGTGCGACGTCGACCTGCGGCGGCTGCACTACAAAGCTCTTCTTCTTCTTCTGCTGTACATCTTCATTCCGGCTTTCGCAATATTGAATGTCGGGACTGGCGTGTTCTGAGCGTCGGCCGACCGTCGGCTTTGTGACCCTGCAAAGCCGATACCCCTACCTGTCTTCCGTCAGAATGGCGGACAAGATAGTGGGAGCATTCGTAATTGAAGGTTGGGCATGGGGACAGACCCAATCCTGTTGTTGGCGTTGCTCGACATTGTCTCGCGGCAAGGAATTGCATCAGCTCATGAAAAGCTGGCTTCTCCCAGAATTTGATGATTTGAGAGAGATCCTCATTTTGCAACTGCATCGGCAGGACGGAGTCGTGCAACCAAACGCTTGGTAGGCAAAACCACGAAAGCCAATGATTTTGGGCATGCCGCCTGGAACAATGAGTTCTGCCGAATTCGCTTTTCGCGCTTGTGCATATCCGGCGAACTTCACCTGAACCGCCTTGTCGATGCGTTTTGCCCAGGCTCCCGTATAAGGCGTTCCGAAAATCGTACACGGCAAGAAAATTTCCGGATTGGAAGCAGGAGGAGTAGTTCTGCAAGTTCGATATGATTTTTGCCGGCTTTTAGACACGTGGCAAACGTGGAACTCAAAGTATTGCTACCTTCCTGTGGGAGGCCGCCTGTCGAAAATTGACCATGCCCTTGAAGTTTCGAGCACCTGTTCGTGCAATCTCTTGTTGACAAGTTCAGTTGTTGTAATTCTTTTGGTTTGTGTACCCTAAACCCTATGAAACCGTATGGTACCCATAGCCCAATAACCTACTAATATGGATAACTGGGTTCGGAGAGTGGGTTTATCAACGCTTGCACCCACTTCTTGTCTTCAGTGGCACGCTGCCTCCTTGCAGTGCCCTGTTTGCCTCATGCCCCTCTCCTCGCATAAACGTCAAAGTGAAACCTCACCCGAATTCCCCGCAAGAAAAGCTTTCAAACCGATGGGTTGAAGCTGAATTTCCGCACTGGAGCAAGTCGAAGCACTGTTGGCAGCGACGCGGGCCTGCGAGCTGCAAAATCCATGCTCACGAGGTCCAAAACGTGCAGAATTGAAGGTTTTCCGCATTTTGGAGCCAGAAAATGCCAAAAAACAGCAAAAACCAGGCAAATCAAGCAAAATTGACATTTTCGTGGCTTGGAACATCGTTTTCAAGAGGAAACCTGGCTGCATCGGTAGAAACCCCGGCTGCGTCGGTGGAAACCGCGGCTGCGTCGGTGGAAACCCCGGCTGCGTCGGTGAAAACCCTGGCTGCGTCGGTGGAATCCCCTGGCTGCGTCGGTGGAAACCCCGGCTGCGTCGGTGGAAACCCCGGCTGCGTCGGTGAAAACCCCTAACCCGCCCGAGAACCGCAGAAAGTGGCGAGAAGCGCGGAGTTTGAGCAAAACGACGCGAAGAAACGTGTTTTCGGGTTGTTTCTTTGCGATTTGGGCAGGAAAACTGCTTTCGGTGCGTCTTTTTGTTAATTTGGTGCAGAATTCTGGTTTTCAGTGGCTTTTTTGTGATTTCGGAATGAACGCAGGAATCTAGCATGGCAAACTTCTCCCCGGGCTTGCGGGCCCCGGTGGGCTGGACATCCGCTGATTGAGGCCTGGCTAGCACGAGCGGATGGTCGCTGTGCGAGCGGCATGACCTTCAACAGCAAGTGCACTCCGATAGCTATACGAAAGCTCCACCGTTCATCACGTGTGAGCAGAAACATGCTGAGAAAGATATGTACTCATCGAAATCTGTGTTCGTAAGGCTTTAAAGTTTTGTGCTCCTTCGGGTTATACAAACTGTGAAAGAACGAGAGCTGTCAAAGGCTTTCTTTGTTATTGCCATACGGACACATTTTGAAGACCCATCGTCGTGTCGACATCTATACACGAGATCCTTACATCATCAGCTTGCCTTTGTGATTTTGAACCCCCAGCTCCTTGCGACATGAACACCTCGAGGCCCATTCCAGCGATACAAGTCTCCAGTTGAAAAGACATTTACCCGAAAGGGGCGTGTTCCCCATGAAAACGTGCTGTACGCGGTTCGCCGACTGTCTCCGCCCACAGTGGAAAGCAAGCCCCGTCTGCAGAAACGTTACATGTTCACCCTGCCCTATATTCTGGAGCAGCGAGCTTGATTCGGTGTAGGACAGTGTTTGCAGAGCTGGCATTTCGCACATGGGTATGCGTTGCTAGGGGTTTGTACATGCTTACCAGGTCCTAAAGCCAAAATGCCGTGTTATTTTGGCCTGCGTGGTTTTGCCTAACGCTTGGGGACTTGCACTCTAAAACTCTGAGACGTGGAGGTGCCCTTCATGGGCTTCTTGCGCGTCGCAGCTGAGGTAACTGTCTTGCTGGCGTCGGCTTACATCTATGCACTGCCTCTCTCTTCTGCAGGTCGTAATCTTCTGGCGGGCAGCATGGCGCAACAACCAGCACTACAACTTCATACACATATACTTTTCTCTCTCATGCAGAAGCAGAATGCGTCAATGTATACATTCATTCCGAAAGCACAGGCTCTCCAGCGAAAGACCTATCACCTATGCCGGTGGTTTGCAAGGTCCAATGTATTTGGGGAAGGGCCGGCTCAGTTTAATATGCAAAAATACAAGACGTATATGTACATCTACATGTATATGTATATATACATATATACATGCATCTTTAAATGTATAAATACACGCATGCACATATGAATTACATATTTAATCTTGTCTATCGCTCGTTTTGCTGCTGTCCTTCTCCTTGTCACTGTTTATTGGTTCTTTCGTTCTTCATTGCTTACGTTCTGGCTGTGTGAGCTTTAGCGTGTAATTGCTGAAGGATGCGTTTTTCTGTTGATCTTCCTCTGAAGCATCTCTTGCTCTGATGTGGGAGAAGGCCCTCGTAGCTCTGGCGGTCCTCTCTTCAAAAATCTTAGAAGAGAAGTCCAGCGCCATAGCTCCTGCGCCTTGCTGTGTGTGCAGCTGTGTAGCTGAGCCTCGTGAAGCGGAGGTACAGGAATCAGAAGCCGCAGGTGGTGTCGGGCAGGTCTTGGCAGCTTTCGCTTTAGGTCAAGCCTCCATTGGGGGACTCTGGCTCTTTATCGGCTGCCGGAGATCGAGGGCATCCGCTTCAAACCGCAGTCCCGTGGGATCACCCAGGCGTCGAGGAGGGGGAGTGCTAGATGGAGATCGGGAGTAAGTGTGTAGTCTTCTATAGTGACGACGATGTGTGGCACGAGCGGTTTCTGCTGCTACCGGGACACGAGGATGGGCATTTCTGGATCTGGACTCCGGACGATGATGTCTACGAGGAGGACATGAGAGGAAAGTCCCAGGATGGCCCTTCCAAGGTGCGCTTTGTGCCTAGTGGGGTGAAAACATTGCCCAACCTCCGCAAGGGTGTCTACCGGTTCAGGGATGAGATCACCGACGTCGCACTGCTTGCAAAGATCCGGGAAGCTTTCCAGTATCATAAGAGCTCGTGTGGCGAGGGCGAGGTTGATCTGGAACAGGCGGTCAGACTGCCATCCGGCTTGGAGAAGAGTCTTGCAGAAGCACTGTCCCGAAGGCGCCTCGTAGGCAAAGGCCCCGGCGTGCGAGGACCGGACCCTGTGCAGTTTGGTTTGGCGGGGAGTCGACAGACCTGGCGCCTTGCCGAGAGCCGTGGGTCCTTTAAGATGGGTGACCGGGTCGTCCCAGATTTAAAGGTCGATGTGGCCCTGGGTGCTAGCGACGCGGTTTTCCACCGTGAGGGTCTTTGGCTGCGCGGGGAGTTGGTCGATGACACCGTCTTGGAGGATTGGTTGGCAGCCCGGCGGCATGAGATCGGAGCCGCCGCTTCAGGGACAGCCAAGCCTTCGACTGAAGCTGGGGGGCTGGCAGAGATTGCAGGCGACGGAGAGAAGGTTGCTGAGGAGAGGGACTTGAGAATCTTGCCGATCCTGTTTGATGCTGCGGAGGAAAGGTGGCGATCGCTTTCCGAAGCGGTCCCGGAGTACGAGGAGATCGACTTCCTCGACTTTCCGCTGCAAGGGCCAAGGACTGTCTACAGGGATGTGCGCCAGCTCAGGCGCTGTGGCATGGATTTCATTCAGCACCACGAGTCCTGGATCAAGAAGAGCGGGGTCCGCGTCACAGATCGCTCAGTTCATGAACACGCTTCTATCTGTCGCGTCTTGAACCTCATGGCCAGCTATGACCAGCTCAATCTTCCATCGCTAGCTTCAGCTGAGGGACTCAACCGCAGGCGGGCTTTGATAGAGATGGCCCACCAAGGTCGGCCGGAGGCGCCTTCTTATGAAGGTGCCGACGAGATCTTAGGTGTGCGTGAGGCCACCGACGGCACGATCGTTGACCCGGCCTTGACACAACACGCTGCTCGGCGGCAGGCGGCCAAAGCAGAGATCTTGAAGCAGAACAGGCTCGCGGCCGAGGAGAAGCGGTTTGCTGGGCGAAGGACCGACGACGCCGACAAGACCAAGCCGGACAAGAGTGGCAAGGGCGGCGGCAAGGGCACGGACAAAAATCAGAGCACCCCCTGAGGCGGGGGGTGGCTGGGGGCAGGAGGGCGCCTTGCCTCAAGCCGCAGATCTTTTAAGCGCCAATCAATTTTCCAATGAGCCGTTCCATCGCTTTGGGGACCTTTTCCCTCTTCCCCTACCAGTGGACGACGGCTATCGGGGAGAGCTTCGGGGTTTGCATTCACGGAGGTCGAGACAGAGGGTTGGACGAAGAAGGGCCCTTGTTCAGAGGGAAGCCGACACCGTGCGAGCTTTGAACTTCCTCAGCGGCTTCGATGATGCATCGAGTTGGCCTCGGAGTTGTTTGAACCAGGCACAGCACTCGGCCATCAACCGAATTCGGCGGGCACACTCAGAGCGTGCGCCTGCCCCAGAAAGCATGTCACCGCAGGCAGCGCTACGGCAGCTGCTGCAGAAGGCTGGGTCTTCCTACGGGGAAGGGCAGCCGGGGCAAGTCGTTGGTTTCATCCGTGAAAAGCTTTCTTTGCCAAGGGGTCAAGAGGAGCCTGTCATGTTGCGAGATCTGCTGCCACCGCTGGAGGGGGAGCTTTTGGACAGCTTCCGTTTTTTCGCGCAGGAGGACGTCCGAGACTTTTTCTACAGGTTGCAGATTCCTTCCTCATTGGGTAAATATTTCTCGCTCCCTCCTCTAGACTTGCGACTGCTTGGTGAAGTGTTGGGCGAGATACCAGAGGAGATACAGGGCATTGCAGCTGAGCACGATGGCCCTGTTTATCCTCACCTCAAGGTGCTGCCTATGGGATTCTCGTGGGCTTTTCATCTCGCGCATATGGCGCATAAAGAGTTAGCTTCACGTACTCTACCACAGGCAGCGCTCATCGAGGACAAGAGGCCCGCTCCGCGTCTTGGTGCACAAGGCCCGCGTTCCGCTATGTTGATTTATGCTGACAACAATAATCATTGTGGTCTTGATCGAGGCCAGGTTGACAAAGACCAGAATGCCATGATTGACGCCTTACATGCCAACGGGTTGGACACTCATGACATTGCTACCTGTTCTACCTTGGCCGAGAGTTTGGGAGTGAGAGTAGATGGTCTGGGTGGCACTGTTGGCCCAACAGCGGCTCGTGACTGGAGGCTGGACCGGGCACTGGAGGCGTGTATGAGTTCGCCGAGGATGTCCGGCGCCGAGCTTCAGATCGTTGTGGGCCACCTCACAGTACGGGCGCTGATACACCGTGGTTTGATGAGTCTCCTTAGGCACTGCTACGTCTTCATAGAAGAATGCTATGACAAGAGGGTTCGTCTTTGGCCCAGTGTGGTCGAGGAGCTGGGATGGTTCAGAGCGCTCATGCCGTTGGGAGTGGCAAATTTCTTTAGCCCCTGGAGCCGCACGGCTTTCTCCACTGATGCCTGCCTGACAGGATACGCTGTATGTAAGGCGGAGTTTGACATCGATGAACTTCGGCAGGTGGGGTGTGAGGATGAACGATGGCGTTTTTACCGTGGGGAGGGGAAGAGAGTTGCTCCGAGGGCGGCGGCTTTGGACACCACGGGAGTTTTCGACGAGATCCTCTCAGTTCGGCCCGAGGTGCTCGATCCGATACCAGAGACCATTGAGCTCAATCCCATGTTCCCTGAGGTCCCTGAGGAGTTGCTGCGGGAGGACCGGTGGCATCAGCTGTGGAATGCACCTTACAGCTTCAAGGAGCCGATACACGTGTTGGAGTGCCGAAGCATTTTGGGAGCGGTTAAACATGCCAGTCGTGATCGAAATTTTCATGGTACGAGGTGTGTCGTTTTCAATGACAATATGGGTGTGGTCCTGGCAGTGTCTAAAGGCCGTTGCAGCAACTACAGCATGTTGAGACTGCTTAGAAGAGTGGCAGCTTTAACCCTTTGCACGGGTATCCGACTCTGTGTGCGATGGGTTCCCTCAGAAAGAAATGCTGCTGACAAGGGCAGTCGCAAATGGGAGGCGGGCGGACCGCCTAAAGGACACTCCTCAAAAGGGGACTGGCAGGAGAGAAGTGGCGACCTTTACCCGGAAAGAGGCGAAGGCGGCCAATCAGAGAATGCACAGTCCTCCACGTGGCGAAGCCATGGAGAGAACTCAAAAGCGGAGCCGGTCCCCATCGCTAACGCGAGTGAGCACCGGCAAGCAACCAGCGGAAGCGGGTTTGAGACAGAACTTGAAGCAGGCAGCAAAGAAGCGAGCCAGGGCACGCAGGCGACAGAAAGTTCATGCTCAGAGGCTTCGGGCCTCCCGCGGGGAGAAGTCGCTGCTGGAGGTTGGGAGTGTGACGAAGGGGACAAGGCAGGACTACCAGAACAAGCTGAACGGGTTCTACGACTTCGTCGCCTTCAACCTGCTCGAGACCCGCACCGAGGAGCTCCTAGACATAGCGCTCTTAGAGTACTGCGCCTTTCTGTACCTGGACGGGGAAGACAGCAACTACGGCCAAAAACTCCAAGCGGCGTTGGAGTACGAGCGGCCGGAAACCGCGAGAGAAGGACAGCTGAAGCTCCCCCGCTTTCGGAGGGCGCTCAAAGGCTGGCGAAAGATGGCACCAGCGCAAACAAGACTGCCGATGCTAGAGTTCCTGAAGAGCGCCGTCAGCGGGCTGATGCTACACGGTGGCTTTCGCGAGATGGCGCTGTACAACGAGGCGTGCTTCTCGACGTATGCCAGGCCAGGAGAGATGTTGAAGATGACGGCGGCAGACTTTGTCCCTGCCACCAAAGCTTACAGTCATGCAGTCCTGGTGCTGGCACCCTTCGAGAGAGGGGAAAGCTCAAAAACTGGGATTTACGACGAGACTTTGATCCTGGACGACGTGAGGGCACCATGGCTCACACAAGCGCTGGAGATGCATGTGAAGGAGCGCCTGCGAACCGGCGAGGAGACGAGCATGTGGAGCTTCACGGCCGCAAAGTTTTTGAGCGTGTGGCGTCTTTGCACCGAAGCGCTGGACATTCAGGACCTGGCAGTCAGCCCTTACCAGAACCGACATGGAGGGGCCTCACGGGACCATCTGATGAAACTCCGCTCAGTGAGTGCCATCCAGAGGAGAGGGCGCTGGGCTTCGGACTCCAGCGCCAGGATCTACGACAAGCCGGGGAGGCTTCAGCAGATGATCAACAAGTACAGCGATCGTTGGGAAGCCTTTGGGGACCGAGTCCGCACAGATTTTCTCCGATGTTACCGAGATGGTGCTTGCCAAGTGCCTCAGGAGCTGCGAAAGAAGTGGCGCCAGCTTGCCACCAGAAAGTCTTCCTGAGTTTGTTTGGTGGAGCCGCGGAGGTAGCGAGAGCTTTTGTGCAGAGCGGAGGCGAAGCAGCGGTTATCGATTTTGCTGATGCGGCAACAAATGATCTTAGCAAGCTCAGCAATTGGAACCGACTGGTTAGCGTGGTAGCCGATTGCAGCTTTGTGGGGATAGATCTTCCTAGCAACACTTGGAGCCGCGCCAGACGGGCTCCCGCGCAATCTAGACTGCCTTCAGCATTTCGGGGTCTTCAAGGCCCTAAACTTTTTGGACTTCCACACCTCAGTGCGCAGAGTTTCCAGAAAGTGCGTGACGCCAACCACATGTTCTTTGGAGCAGTGAAGGTCATACGCAGATGCTTACAGACAGGGGTGTGTGGCTACTTGGAGAACCCTCGCAGCTCGCTCGTTTGGAAAACCCCTCAAATCAAGCGCTTGTTGCAGGACCCGCGAGTCTCGTTGATCCACACCGAGCTCTGTCGGTACGGCACTCAATGTAGGAGGTCCACCTCGTTGCTTGTCTGGGGGGTCCCTCGTTTCGAGCTTCTCAGGTGCACGGGAACATCTTGTGTACGCACACACCGTAAACATCTTCAGCTCACCGGGATCATTGGTGGACGCTTCCTTTCTGAGCACGCACAAATTTATCCTGCAGGCTTTGCGGATGCTATCGTGCGGGCTTTCTTCAGCCCACCCACGCCGCCCTGGATGTGCCATGCTGGAGATGGGAGTGGGAAGTGAAGTTCCTCGAGGAGGTCTTTGAACCGTCATCCCTGAGGGCATGCGGTTCAGCTTTGATCGGATGGAGCTGCAGGCCTCAGGCCTTTCGCTCCTTACATACAGATGGACACGCCGGAGTGTGCACAAACGGAGCGTGTGCATACTTTTGTGGTCTAGCCAGCATCCGTAAGCATGTGTGAGCTTTAGCGTGTAATTGCTGAAGGATGCGTTTTTCTGTTGATCTTCCTCTGAAGCATCTCTTGCTCTCCCACCCTCGCCACCCGGGGAAGTGAAGTTCATGCGGTTCAGCTTTGATCGGATGGAGCTGCAGGCCTCAGGCCTTTCGCTCCTTACATACAGATGGACACGCCGGAGTGTGCACAAACGGAGCGTGTGCATACTTTTGTGGTCTAGCCAGCATCCGTAAGCATTAATTTCTTTCTCTGTCTCTCTCCAGCTCCCCTCCTTCCCTCCTTCATTCCCTCCCTCCCTTCCTTTTCAAAGCAAAAACGGAAAAATTACATCATTTTAAGAACAACGAAAACATGTAATTTTGGATCCGTTTGCAACTTCGGCTCCGCGCCCACTTCCAATTTGATGAATGGTGCGTTCGGCGGTGTTTTTGGTCATTGGAAAATGCGCAGCCCAGGAAGATTAGAAATTTTAAGTAGTCAAAAATATGGGATAAGCGCCGTCAAACAGTTATTTGTAAACATTCCCACGCCAACTCCAAGCTATCGCGTTTCACGAATCTGGTTGGGATGCTTGTGCTGGATGGGTGAAAGCTGAGTACATGCGACCAGCAGGGATAGCCAGGGGAGCGATGAACATTGAGGAGGTAGCACTACCGATGCCGAGTGGACAGCTGCAAGGTTAGATGTTTTGTTCCGGTTTGATGCTGAACAGTCGGATGATGTCGGATGTATCCCGGAGGCCAGTTTTTTTCGGACAGTGTGTCTGCCAACGAAATACACAGCAGCCATCGTCGTAGTTTCATGCTGCAACGAGGGCCAAGCCGAACTGGTGAATCTCGTCAAGTTGCAGTCGCAAGACATGAATTTTATGTGGATCTGTTAACACCCTAATTGCAAGAATCCGCCCGTGACTGTTGTATGCGGTACGCAGTACTGTGCCGTTGACGCCGTGCTCAATAAAGAAACAGTGTCATCAATCGTACGGTTGGGGCTTCTATATTCCGAGGTAACACGGCGATTGAAAGCGCCAGTGCCGACAAGGCCTTTGCATGGAGCTCATGGAAGACATGTCAGCGGAAAGTTGCCCATAGGTTCACACAGCCATGCACATTCGTAAGCATTTGTGACCATTGGCAGTCGTGGTGTGTAACATTGGATGCAAGCTGCCCCGAAGCCATTCGCCCGCATGTGTGTGTGCGTGTGTGAGCTTGTTGATGTCTAACCCAACTTGTACTTTAGGGCCGGCGAGCTTTGGCATCGAGCTCGGGCTTGATTCTTTGATTTGGTTTTCGTGTGTGTTGGGTTTCGATCAGTTGCAGGAACATCAAAATCCTGTGGTGGTTTCCGAACATTTCGGGTAACTCGGAAGCATGGAATCCATCGGTGCGAGGTGTCATTCGGTTGTCGTGCGCAACCCGCGCACTGAGACTCGTTCGACCGGTTCTGTTTTTGCAGGAGCTCGCCACCGTGACGTACGAGCGCAAGAAGAAAAGCCAAGTTGCAGCTCGCCGGATCACCTTTCATTTCATTCGGGTATGGGGGTATATGTCCCGAAACACGACTTGCATGTTGTTATAGGCCATGAATCTTTTGGAGGTTCGTGGCTTTGGGGGTCGTGGCATTCGGAGTGAAGCTTTCTGGCTTCAGCTTCGGGTTTTAGCGGCTTCAACTTTGGTTTTGCTCCAGTCATCAACTCCTCACGGCCTGCTGCTGCTGTTGCTGCTGCTGCTGCTGCTGCAACTACTTAACAACAAACAGCAACAACAACCACAACCACAACCGCAACCGCAACAACCGCAACCACAACCGCAACAACAACTACTACTACTACTGCTACTACTACTACTACTACTACTACGACGACTACTACTACTACTATAATACTACTACCACTACCACTACCACACACTACTACTACCACTACCACTACCACTACCACTACCACTACCACTACCACTACCACTACTACTACTACTACTACTACTACTACTACTACTACTCCTCTTACTCCTACTCCTACTACTACTACTGCTGCTACTACTGCTACTTCTTCTACTTCTGCTACTACTGCTACTACTGCTACTACTGCTATTACTGCTACCGCTGCTGCTACTACTACTACTACTACTGCTACTACTACTACTACTACTACTACTACTACTACTACCTGCTGCTGCTACTACTGCTACTACTACTACTACTACTACTACGACTACTACTACTACTACTACTACTACTACTACTACTACTACTACTACGACCCCTGCTTCTACTGCTACGACTACTGTTTACTGGTGCGACTACACTACACCATATACAACTACCACTACTACTGCTGCTGCGATGACGAAGAGGAGGACGAGGAGCAGGAGCAGGAGGTGTTGTGGTTTGTGATGTTTCGGTTGAAGTCATATGGGTACTTGCGGTGGGTGCAATGCCTCAGAGGGGTATCTCGGATCGCAATGGCCACCAGCATCTTGCGAGCCGGTAACCCCCGCACTCAGGACTGAAACGAAAGATCCCTAGGCCCCAGCCTTTCCTTTCGGAGTAGTCGAGACCCTCACATTCACATCCGGGTTCATGATGTGGCCTTGGGTCGGCTTGCACAGGAAACTCTCCGGAAGATCTTCGAGGAGCCTCGTGCAATCGACTTTCATATTCAGACATGGACTGGGGTGCATGGATGCAGGGCTCAGCTGACAGTCTTCCGGACTGCAGGCCTCCGGAGGCTACAAACAGGCCCGACTTCCAGCTTCCGCCCCGCTGCGAGGAGCTTGATAGCTCCAGCGCTGACAACATCAGCAGCCCGCAATTTGAGAAGAGCGTGAGTGGATTCTATTCGGACGTCAGGTTGATAGTGTAGGACTGAAGCTCTACAGGCTATCAATTACTTCAGGGTTTCAGGTTAGACAGCTGACTGAGAGCCTGATACTCTTTGGTAGTTTCTCTGTCTTGGGTGTGAGGCTGGGATTTTGCGCTGTTCACTCGTCGGCGTTGTTCTTTGTCCCGGGTTTCTGGTTTCGGCTTCAAGGTGCGAGTGCCTTCGAGAAGGCCTGGTTCACGTTTAATGCACAGGAGCTGCTCTGTTTTCTTAGGAACAGCTGAACACCTCCTGCAGTGCAGCACTTGTGTTGCCCTTCCAGAACAGTAAACTCAGCAGCACAGCTCCAGACCCAAGTCCTGAGCTGTTGAGTTTGAAGAGGGCGGGGAGTGCCCAGACGTGTTCACGAAGTAAGGCATCAAGGACGTGGAAACGGCGATGTCGCGTGGGCGCTTGTGCCATGGCACTGTGGAGCGCAGGGTTTGAGATTACTTGGACCGAGTAACTCTTCGCACAGACAGATCTTCCTGTACTCTCAACTCGGTCAGCGACGACACCCATGTCTTGCAAGGTTAGCCAGGATTTCGCATGTCGAGTCTGAGCAGGTCCAACTTCCTGGAATCCATGGGCATCTCCACAGAGGACGTGGCCCGGACAGAAAGAGTGCAGTCACCGGCTATTCTCAGTTTCAACCAACAGCACAGTGCACACAGCGAGCGAGTTCTCGGACAAGCTTCCGGAGCCCGAACTCTACAAACTATTTTTGCGGCACTGAAAGCTTAGTTCGAAAGGTTTGGACCTTCTTCATGCTCATCGACGCGAACGAGAACGGCTCCTCTGCCGGGAGGGCCACGTGGATATGGGCTCGGTTTCATTCCCGGCAGCTCCATGTACTAGTACTATCTGTCCACCGAATCTGCAGCACCCTGCGGCTGCCCACTTCTGAGTCAATACTGGGTACGGGTTCTTTGAAGCATTCCCGTTTGGTAAGATGCGAGGTGGCTCCACTGTGACGGCATCTTGAGGTTTCCACAGGGGCACGGACTAAACAGCCATTGAGCCTGAGGTCTTCTCGATCTCGATGAGTTTGTCTCCGGATGCATGCAGTGCTTCGTCGGCAAAAAGCTTTGTGGGGATTGGAAGCTTGAAACCGAAAGTGCTCGGGCCCAGTTTCTCTCAACGTATGTAACCCGTTCACCGGATCAACGGCGTTAGTGAGAATATGGGCAGGGGCAGGTTTGGGACGCTGGCACACCAGAACAGGTTGAACGGGCCTGCGCGGAGCATTCAACTCGCCAAGATGAGCTACGAGAAGCTTGGGCTGAAAGTCCCTGCCGTTGAGAGATTCGGGATTTTGTCGGCAGGCGCAGGATGCTTGAAGCCCCTCACTACCCTGTATTGCAATGTTTGGCGCTGAATCGGGGGGCTGTGGGACTTTGAAAGGAAAGGGCGGTAGGGGCAACTGAGATACGGAGTACCACCAGGCAGACCCTACAGAGGCTGAGGCTGTCCCAATGTCTGTGGCAGATCTTCTGCGAAGCTCAAGATGCCGACGCATCACATACCGATATCCTGACCGTACCTGAGAGCTGGAGCAGCCCCGCATTTGAGGAACAAGGTGACCAGGAGAGAGATTCGGAACATCATGGAGGACTCTTCTCCGCTGTGGCGCAGTGATAGCAGCGCATGTGCTCAGGGTTGGCCACTTCTGAGTGCATGACGATGTGTGAGTGCGTGGACTTGCCGTTGAACTAAGTTTGTAAGCAAAGGCGGAACTACTCCAAGGCTCTAACGTTCTTAGATGTTCCGTTGAGTATCCAGTTATTGTCAGCTCTACATGGCAAGTACAGCAAGCCGCGAAGAGGTCTTGCGGTTGAATTCCGAACCCACTTTAGCAAGCGTAAAGCCCGATGTTGCAGCTCCCGAGCATTAAGTGCAGGTCTGAGGCCTTGAATGCAGCTACAGGCCCTTCACAGACTCCCTGCCAGCTGTGGTTTCAGGTCCAGGGTTCAGGGATCCGCAAGAACAGAAGCCGTCGTGATCTGTCGCTCTGCCAGCACACGTTCAGTGCCATCACTTCCAAGGGTTGAAAAGGCCACTTCGCATCACAGGAGCTGAAGCAGGTGTCCGAGCAGGTCTTGACGGGCGCTTCTCCCCAGGCCCGAGGGTTTCGCGCGCTCAACCGCAAGACGACGGTGACGATGATGGTAACTCTTGGAAGGTCTCAGTATTTCTTTGATACTCCCGTGCCAAGCGTGAGGCAAGCATGTTCAGCTCAGGGACAGTCAATAAGTGACACGGAGATTCAGTTCTTAAGTCTTAAACGCCACGTAGCCCACTGAAGCAATTGTGCAGCCTTCCTGCCCGCAGTGGCTGTCTTGAAATCTTCTTTCTTGGATGCTCGTCTTCAGACGCAGGTACCACAGGAGGGGCAGCAGCAGAGGACCTCGATCCTAGATCTTCACCTTAGGCGGTAAATGAATTAGGTCAGCATCCAGCTCAGAAAAGTCTTCGCTTACAAACCAGGGACAATAAACATGAGACTCCGGGGACCGCCCTGACCGGACCCTGGCCAGGTGATGGAAGGCAGGAGAAAGCGCGCCATGCTCAGCGAAGCTTTCTGACCCGAAAATCACGGGTCGCAAGCGACTGAGCTGGTAGTGCGTGTTGGGTTGAATGACGGTGGTGAAATAGATCACAGAACTGATGAGGGGTTCGAGATCAAGAACATGCACGTAGCGCAATAGCCCAAGGTCTAGGAGCCCTGATTCATCACACGGAAATCACGTCTTGACGACGATTGGGCGGGAGGCATCATCCATTGCGCTTGCCGCAAAGATCGCGCAGCATTCGCCACGAAGTCAGGTCCACCCTCTAAGAGGGTAGGGAGCACTTCAAGGATCAGGGACTCGGCAAGCTGGTTACGGGTAGGGGGTTATAGCAGACTTGAGAACTCACAAGCTTGCTCAGCTCCTTGCTAAGTCCGCTGATTTTTCGAGCGCGCACTCGTGTGCATCCATTGCAAAAAGACTCTTGCAAGCTTAGCTTGCTGTTTCGTCAGAGGTTCCATCCAGAGACTGTCATTCTGCAGATTCTATAGCATATCTTGGCGAAAGAGTAACACGCGCTCCAAGTGAAAAACGCCAGAGCAGCACGCGGCGCACTGTGGCTGAGATTGCATGTGAGGCTTCGCCAGAATAAGACATGCCGCACCAGCAAGGCAAGCACATTGCAGGTGACGGCTAGGTGCACAGCAGCTTCGGATCGCATGCTCTTCCCGTGAACAATTCAATAAGAAGGCACGGAACGGCTGTCTGTAACCGGCGAAATCCGGAAGATGCACCTGGCGTGATCTGCTTCAGATGAAGAGGCCAGCGTGGGGGGCCTGGGAGACCCCCTGGGGGACAGGACCGCTTTGCCACATGCGGCTCTTGCTGAGCCTTGCAGTCACAGGCTTTCATCTTGAGCCTTCAAGATGCAAACCGTTCAACTCTCGAATGCTATCAACAGGTACAGCCGGCTGCATGGTGGCACCTGCACACATGGCAAGGCGCGCGAGCAGCATAGAGACCCTTGGGACTTGGCAGGGGAGTCCTGGAATTTGTCATCCTTACCCGCTTGATGCTCGAACTGTCGAAGAGTCCTCGATGAGAAATCCGGAACCACAACTGACACCGACGCGCGTGATTTGTCAGTCCACTTTCATGCAGCTCTTCGGCGCAAGCTCAAGCTCATCACAACTCTGTGCCAACGGAGCATGTCGAAGACATAAATCAGAACGCCCGGCCCCCCTTCATTTAGCAGGGACTGGTTCAGCATTTCCGAAGGCAGGTTAGCACACAAACATCTCAGCAAAGTCATCGTGGCCATGACTGCCGACAGCTCCGGCGGCGAGGTGCGCTTTGCAGATTGAGTTCGCGAGTCCTTTGTTTCTCGCGCCAGCTCCTTTTTGATTTTTTTCATGCGAAGCGCTGGGTCCGATACCGCAGGCGTCAACGCTCCGTAGGCGTAGGCTGGTCAGGATGCCTCAAGCTCATGATTTATGGTTGTGCAGGTTTGGATACATCTTTGGGATGACAGGCCTCTACATCGCGTGCGAGCACAAATTCTCAACAGTACATGTTGTAGCGGGTAGTTCTCTGTGTCATTTGTCACTGCATGGATTTGTGGCAAGATAGCACTGGCTTTGGCTTCCCAGGGCGCTTGCTGCCAAGCTTGCAGCAAGTCTGCTAGCTGGGAGTGCGGCTGCTACGCCTTCTACTACTGCTACTACCACTACTGCTGCTACTCTTATGCAATTACACCTACTACTCCCACTACTACTCATACTACTCCTACCCTCCTGCACTACTACTACTACTACGACGACGACGACGAATACTAGTACTACACTACTAGTACTACTAGTACTACTACTACTACTACTACAACTACAACTACAACTACTACTACTACTACTACTACTACTACTACTACTACTACTACTACTACTACTACTGGTACTACTACTAGTACTACTACTAGTACTACTACTAGTACTACTACTAGTACTACCACTAGTACTACTACGACGACTACTACTAGTACTACTACCAGTACTACTACGAGTACTACGACGACGACGACTACTACTCCTACTCCTACTCCTACTGCTACTGTTACTGCTACTGCTACTGCTACTGCTACTGCTACTACTACTACTACCACTACTACCCTACTACCACTCTACCACTACTACCACTACTACTACTACTACTACTACTACTACTACTACTACTACTACTACAAACTACAACAACAACTACTACTACTACTACGACTACTACTACTTCTACTACTGCTACTACTACTACTACTACTACTACTGCTACTGCTACTACTACTACTACCACTACCACTACTACCACTACCACTACTACTACCACTACCACTACCACTACCACTACCACTACCACTACCACTACCACTACCACTACCACTACCACTACTACTACTACTACTACTACTACTACTACTACTACTACTACTACTACAACTACTAGTACTACTCCTACTCCTACTCCTACTCCTACTCCTGCTCCTGCTCCTGCTCCTGCTCCTGCTGCTACTAATACTACTACTACTACTACGACGACTACTACTTCTGCTACTGCTACTTCTGTCACCACTACTGCTACTGCTATTGTTCTGCTACTGCTGCTGCGCTACTCCTGCTACTACTACTAGTACTACTACTACGACGACGACTACTGCCCACGACGACTCCTACTACTACTACTACTACTACTACTACTACTACTACTACTACCACTACCACTACTACTACTACTACTACTACTACTACGACGACTACGACTAAAACTACGACAACTACTACTAGCTACTTACTACTAACAACTGACTTTTAACTTCTAAGCACTGCTGCTGCTACTGCCAGTTCTGCTTGTACAGGGGGCTGGGGATGTGCAGACTTGGCTGACTTAGCGGCTTGATGCAACTTGCAGGGCTTGTGGCTTGAGGGCTGAAGTTTTACGGACCTGGTTCTATGGAAGTTTCGGGTTGCCGGCCCGTCCCTTGTCGTGAAGCGGAGAACTGCTGGAAAGAAGAAACCGAAAAGACCCAGTTTGCACAACGAGGTGTTTGAGCTGCCGGCGGCACAGTTCAGGGAGCTCCGACGCGACTCAAGCTGAAAAGCGCAGGGAAGGTACTCAAGACTTGGAAGTGTTTGTGAAGAAGGAAGGAAGCGCTGGACAAGCGCCAAAGGCACCAAGCCAAGACATCAAGCTACATCAAGCCAGCCTGCGAATGTGTAGCCTTCTCTGCCTAAGCTCTGCGTGTAGCCGAGCGTGGTGGTGCGATGTGTGGCGATAGCATATAGGTAAGACGGGGCATGATCGCTGGCACTCCATGCAGTTTGCCGCGATAGTTTGCTGTCGCGTATTAGCTAGCCTAATGAAATCTAATGAATGTACAAGACCGGATGGGAGACCACACAGTGACATGCAGCTCACAGCATGCTGTTAGATAGTAATGAGATAGCACGAAATAGCACAGCATGGGATGTGACATTCAGCGTGTTGGTTTAGTGTTGTTGCATTTCTTGCTTGGTGCCTCATAGTCAGCGTGTGACACCCAGCATCGAACAGCTGCGTGTCGTGTCCAAAGCTGTTCAGTTTGGTGAGCAACACATTTAGTACTACGGCGGTCAACGAACAACCAGCTGCACATCAACTGCTTGGCTAAGTGCAATGGCCAGACATAGCAAAAGCAAAGCCAAGAACGCAGAGGACCAGAAGTCGTGGTTCACTCCGATGATCCCTCCCCCGTCGGCCCGCAGCTGAGGTTATTTGGAGCTGGAGTTCGCCAAGCAGCAGGAAATTCTCAACGTCACGCATGTTGCAAAAAGGGCCATGGGCAGATTGCTTCCGGCAGAGTCTTCGCAAGGTTTTGCAGGATTTGCAGGAAGGGTCCTCAAAGCGTGATTGTTGCCTGCGTTCACGTCAGGGCCGAGAAAGAGACAGAGCCCTTCCCAGGCATTGCTTCAAAGGGGGTCGGGCTCAACGCTGCCCATCTCACCGCCGAGAAAGCTCAGCCGTGGCGAGGCCCACGACCCAAAACTTGGGACAGGAGGAGTTTGCAAACAGGTGTTGAAAGCATGACCTGTCAATTCAGCTTCGCGGATTGAAAACCGCGCAGATCGAAGGGCTCCTGCTGCCGATCATGTCTGCTCCAACGGTTCTTCGAAGAAAGTTCGCAATCCTTGTGCGGAAGCCATCTTGGAGAGCCCCCGAGCTTTCAAGTCCCACTGACCTTCTCCGCCAGGAAACGGTAAGTCTGACACTTCGGAAGCAAATCGAGGAGTCCTGCGAGGGACGTGAGACGTGGGCTTTGGGTCTGTACGGCGAGCGAGGTTTCCAGGTTTGGGCGTTGAAAGCAACTGCAGCTGTTGATTCGGCTTGTGTGCTCATCCATAATTCCGCGACAAAGATGTTACTGTACTTCCATCTGAACAGAGTATTACAGTACTATAACTCGGTATCGGAGGCCTCCCCGTCTGGAGAAGTGGAGTCCACTTGTTTGAGCATCTTCTCCCCGGTTGCTGAATTCTGTCTCGCCTTTCTGCTGCTCGCCTTCAAGCTTGCAGTCGTTGCGCCCATCGCCCGCCCCATCATGTCCACTTTCTGCTTTGTGGTCATGGCATCTACGCTTGCGCAGCGAAGTGTGACAAGCAGGACTTGTCTAGTAGGTGCAGGTTTACTATAAATTAAACGCCCGTTCTGCTAAACCAGAGCACGCCCGCACACTTCTGGATGCCTCATTCAAATCCTGAGACGCACCCTTCCGAGAGGAGCCCGATGCTGATGACGCTGACTCCGACGGTGAGAAAACGAGCGCAGGTGCCGAGGGTAGGAGCGTAAGTGCAAGGAAGGCGTTGACAGCTGAGGTTGCAAGGGCGAGGGTGTGTTCTGCGCGAGCTCAGGGCCACAGAGAATAGATGGAATACCAAGTTCAAGCCGACAGAAACGGTCTAGGCCTAGGCGGCTGCCTCGGGCCTGACAGAGCAGAGAGGCTTTGCCACGCCACCAAACTTTGACCTCTGTTGACCTCTCGCGGAGGAAGCTCC